ATTACTTAGAGGCAAACTTTCAAAAGATTGTATTAGGATAGCACAGAAACACCCTGGGCTGTTCTTGATAAATACATTTTCTGGTCCTCTCTCGAGCTGCCTTCTGCAGTGGAACTAACCTGGGGGCTGCAGCTTGCCACTCACCACCCACCTGCGCCCCCCCCCATTTTCTGATTGGAATCGATGTTCCCCGGCTTCTGCCGAGGGGAACGGAGCCTCTTCCGTCCATCATTTTCAGCCACTATTTTTTTTTTTTTTTTTTTGCTGCTGCAGAGCTTTATAAACAAGAATTGTGGTAGGATCGTGGAAGGAAATTAATTTGCTTGCAAAAAAAAAATTTTAGTACAACATCTGATGTGCAATAGAGACTTTGAAGATACGGATTGAATAATTACACGTACGAGTGATCAGACTATTAGAGAGAAAACCAGCCCGGAGTGGGAATGCTTTTCTTCTTTTTCTTTTTATGGAGGTGATGTTGGTGTACATGGGGGTGAGTTGATAGCCTGCTGGGCTCCACTCTCCAACCTGTAGGTTTTTCCATTGTTGACAGGGGCACGAGAGTCCCATTTCACCACCTCCCAGCATCCCCCGCTTTGTCCTTCATAGTATTTTACTGCATTTGCTCAGTGATTTATGTATTTATTTTAAAAAGATTTATTTATCTATGCGTACAAGGGCTGGGGTGTAGGCCAGAGATGGGGGGGTGAGAGGAGTCACCAGAGACAGAGTGGGGAGCAGAGCAGGGGGATCTACTGAAATACACTGCTGATGGGGAACAGTAGGGAGACAGGAGAGGTCTGCTGCGCCATGTGGGTAGCTCCCTGGCCGGGGATCGAACTCGTGCTGCAGAGGCTGCAGAGAGCTTCATAGTGCTGTGTCTTAACCCCTTGCACCACCAGGGAGGCCTCTCAGTGATTTTTTAAAGTCCTGCATTGGCTGACTGAGTTTCTCCCCCATCCGGCTGTCACTTCCATGATGATGTCTGTTTTGCTTGTCACTCACTGAAGTTTCTGGCACCTGGTACTCAGCAAAGGGGGGCTGGAAAAATAGGGCTTTGGAAAAATGGGCTCAAAATAAGTGAGTTAGTAGCTGCCCACAGAGTGATTCTCTTCAGCGCTCGGCCCGCAACCTTTGGTGCAATAACTGCACCCTTTGGTTGCTGCATGTCACGCAGCCCTGGGCAGGGGGTGCTTCCCAGCAGCTGAGTCTCAGATCAGTTCTGCATCCAGGGCTGACCCTGCCTGCCTCCCCATTCGCCTGGACCTGGCTTCGAAGGCCCATGTGCAGATTGATTTTTAGTGCTTGCAATGCCAGGTGTTCCAACTCCACACGCAGAGTTTGCGGTGTATTGGGGCAACTGAGAGAAACGAAACAAATTACTTACATTTTCAGGTAATGATATTAGGGCAGTACATCTATTAGCGTCGTAATAAGGCTCAGGAATTAGAGAGCCCAGACAAGGGCTAACGTTCAAGACTTCTCCGTTGCGTTGTACTTTTCTTACCAGGCTTCCTCATTCCATTTTCTTTCTAATTATTTTACAGTTTCCTATGGCCTTTTCAAGGTGGCTAAATTTAAATTCCCGACAACACTTTAAAGCAGTCTCTTCCTCTAAACACAGCTTGGCAATTATTTCTGAGGAGAATTATTAAAAACGCAGCCTTTAAATCAGGGGAGAACAGAACAGTGCCCGGAGCTGGGATGAGAGATGACTTCTCGGACAAGAGTCACGTCCCTGGGAAGGACGGTCGAATTTCCGAAGGTGCCTTGGAGACGGCCGGGCCCGTTGCTTCTGGACACACAGGAAATGACTCACGGATGCGAGGCCCAAGCCCAGGCAGACACGCTCGGGGCCTTCACGCCGGACGGGGCCGCTCCGCCTGCTAGAAAAGGCCATTCATTTAAAAGCGAGTTAGCATCCTTCTTCCATAATCTAAATTAGTTTAACACACTTCAGTGACATTATTTGGGCATTTTTCACAATTACGAAAGCTAACTCACTTTCCTCTGTAGACTGTAGGTCAAGAGCAAATGAGATCTATGGATTTTCTCCCCTTGCTTTCTCCGATGAGTCAGAAGTTATTGGGCAAATGCGTTCGTGGCCTTTCCCTGAAGCTTCAAATCCCAAACAACCTGTTGAGAAGACATTTGGCCAATCTGATTATTTTCTCTATACTAATTGGTTTGACTTCTTCATTGAACGGAATGAATAGCCGGGCGCTGCGGGCGCTGCGGGCGCAGGCCGGGGCCCTCGGAGTGGGGCGGGATTGGAGACGTGCGTCATCGTTTCTCAGCTCTCGGCGATTGCGCGTGGGCGAGGTGGAAATGAAAACACATCCTGAGTCCATCTGATTTACCCAGGGCTGCGTCCACCCCCAGGTCACTCTCAGAGCCTTGACCCCTCGCGTCTCTGAGGATGTAGCTCCCGGCAAGACGCTGGGCTTGCAGCGAACGCAGAGTAACAGCTGCCCCTTCCCAGCTCCTGCCTTCGGTCCCCCAGACCCCTCGCCCACCGCCTCCTCCAGCGATGCCCGAACTTTCAGACCCTCCCCCTCAGCGTCGGGTTCTGCTCCCCGTGGGGACCGGCCCGGCTCTCTCTCCCCGGAGGTCTCATTTCAGGTGTCACTGTTCCAGAGAGAGCTTCCTGGGGGGTGAGTCAGCCCCCCAGTTACTCTCGGGGTTGCCCCCGCTCCCTGTAGCGCCCTGAGCCCCCGTGGCCTCTGTACCCCACCCCTGTGGTGCCCCTCTCTGTCATTCCTCAGGAACACCCCAGTCTGTGTTCACTTCTTCACAGCCTGGAGCCAGCTGCCGGCCTGCTTGTCTCTTCTTCCCTTGCCCCCTTGGGGCAGAGGATCCCAGGGCCGGAGCACCTCTGTTTGCTCTCCCGTTCCTCATGGGGGAGCACCCTGTGGGGAGCATCCTCGTGGGGAGCATCCTCGTGGGGGAGCACAGTGTCTAGTTTGCTGAGGGCCCGGGACGCGGCGACAAAGCCTGCTGCTGTGGTCAGTCCCCGCACGGGTCCCCGCGCCTCGGTGCTGGGGCAAGACTGAGTAATGAAAACTTGGGCTTCCTGCCTGGACCAGGGGCTTCTCTGTAGCTTTGCAGAGTTGATTTGCTGGGGAGACTGCACTGGGTCATCTGGTCCCTGCCTTTGGGACTCAGCTCCAGGTGGAGGCCTGTGCAGTCAGCTCCAGGTGGAGTCAGCTCCAGGTGGAGGCGGAACCCACCTGTACTGTCCTCTAAAAACGCAGGAGCAGTTAGGGCAGGGCAGGGCAGCAGCCGGCCCAGGGGGCAGACCGCGCAGGAGAGGCGTCATCCCATGTGCACAGTGGGGAAGCCCTGACACCAGGTGGGGCTGAAATGGAGATGGGCAGAGCCACTGAGCCAAAGCCCTACTCCCTGGCACTCCCCTCTCTCTGCACTTGCGCCCTCCCTCCGTGGTGGAATATGTGGGCTGTTTCTGGGGTGCACACAGTGCTGGACACTGGCCTCTCGAGCAGGGAGTGAGGGCTGCATTGAAAACAGGCTCATTTGGCGCGATCGTTGCCCCTAAGTGTGGCGCCTGCTCCCTCTTCCCGAGTTTGACCCCAGATTGCTGGCAGCCGGGCCCCTACTTTCCAGGCAGGAGATTGGGGTCTCTGCTTGGAGAAGCTGCCTGTGCAGGACCCCTAAGGAGAACTGCCACGAGGGTTGCCGCGTGAGCAGGACACTCAGGGAGCCCACGGCAGCCAGGGCGGACACTTCGGGGCACCCAGGGCCAGCTGCCTCGTGCCTCCCACTCCCAAGCACGAGCAGAGACTCATATTCGGGCTTCGGGAGCAGGATGGAAAGAGAAAGAAAGACCAAGACAAAGTAGCGGAGGACAGAGACTTGGCAGGGAGAGGCTGGCGTTGGCGCTAACAACCGATCGTTCACGTCGGGGGAGAGGGAAGAGGAAAGAGACATGGACCGAGAGATGCCGGCCGCCCCGACGGAGGAGGACGGGGTGAGGCCATGTGGCCAGGGGGTGGGTGAGGGGTGCTCGGCAGTACGGACTGGATGGCAGAAGCAGACACTCGCACGCTTCCCCAGATTGTATACAATGACGGAGCAGAAAATAAAGGAGAGAATATCAGAAAAAATAGATGGTTGCTGGGGAGGGCGAATAGTCAGACCTGAACGTTCTAGGGACAAGAGGAGAAAGCACCAGGAAGACAAGCAAAGAAATAAGGTTTTTTACAATTTTTTAAAAAGATGTATTTATTTATGCCTGCAAGAACTGGGGTGCAGGCCAGAGGTGGGGGTGGGTGAGAGGATCCCCCAGAGACAGAGTGGGGAGCAGAACAGGCAGATCCACTGCCCAGGGGAGCGGCGGGGAGACGGGAGGGGTCTGCTGCGCCCTGCGGGGAGCTCCTTGGCCAGGATTGAACTCGTGCTTATTAACTCAAAGGCAAGGACGTGGCTCAGGTGGGAGAGGCGGGAGGGGTATCAAGGCTGGGATTCTGGGGACAATGAAGAGCCTCGGGGCTTCCGGAGAGACACGCAAAGCTTGGCCTGAGGGTCGTGAAGTGTGAGTCCTCCGCGGCCCCTTTGGCTGGAATCCGGGTCTCTCTGAGTGGAAGAGAGAGTGGGGCGAGGGGAGGCAGCCACTCTCAGAAGGGAGATGCTGTGAGGGCACCCCGGGGCTCAGCTGTGTGCCCCCCTGCTCCCGTAACCGCAGCCTTGCAAAGCCAGCCCCTCCGCCTGCCACCCAGGGTGGCATGGCCGGAGGAGGAGCATCAGCCTCGGCTTGGCCTGCAGAAGAGGCCTCTGTGGGAGGCCCCACGCGGCGTTTATTTACCGGTGTCAGGGATGTTTCTAGTTTGGGGACTGGCTTTGTCTTTTCTTTCCTGGCAGAGGTGGAGACGTCACTGGAGGTGAATCGAGTAGACTGGGGAGGGGGGGCACTCTGGCCTTGAAGACACGGGAGCCCCTTTGGCTGATGTCATTTCCGATGTGTCTTCTCGCCCCTCTTGCAGGTCCCCAGCTGCAGGGGGAGTTGGCTTGTGCCACCTCAGAGCCGCCCCTTCGTGGTGGGCATGGAGCGCGGGAGGACGGCAGCGGAGCCGGGCTCGGGAGCACTGCCGGGGCCGCGGGAGTGGACGCCACCGCGGCGGGGCTGAGGCGCGTGAGTTCCTCTCCTCTCTGCTGTCCCCGTTCTGTGTGGCTCTCCTGTGTCTGTCCAGTTGTCCGGGGTGCAGAACTTGTGGGGACACATGCTGACACTTCCAGAAAGCCTGCGAGGCCGACAGCTCCAAACTTGGTGTCTGAAAGAGGGGGCGGCTCTGGCGTGAACAGGCGGGGAAGACGCGGTGGTTGATGCGACCCCCGGAGCATGTCCTTGATTCAGACCGGGGTAGAACAGTGACACTGCCTCCTCGACGTGACACCCTGCCAGGGGTGCCGGGAGGGTGCCAGGGGGTGCCAGCTGAGAATGGCGAATCCAGGCACTTTGAAAAGCATGAATCTGGACGGCGCTTACGTGCGGGGTCCTGTGCAGTAGCACCCACTCATGAGCAGCGGCCACTTCAGCTTGACCCTCAGGGCTGGTGGACAGCCACGTGGCTCGTGTCTCACGAAGTCAGAAAAGCCTCAGCAATCTCGTGACCTCTTCTGAGTCAGCAGGAAACTATGGAAGAGCTGCTGAGGGTGCCCCAAAGCCCAGCCCCAGAGTCTAGCCCCTCCAGGCCTTGTTTTCATCGAAGAGCATGTCTCACCCCACGTTTTTCCTTTTGATTCACCGTCCCCCCATTTATTTCCCTTTGTGCTTCGTTGCAGGACACGTCCCCACCTGCTGGAGATCGTGGTCCTCAGGACACAGCTGAGGCGTCGGGGTCACTGCTGCCTTCCACCCCTGGCTGGGCCGGGGCCCGTGCCAGCCTCCTGCCCCTGGGCAGGGATCTTGGCATTGGATTGCTTGAGTCCCACCTGCCGCCCTCCCGGGGGCAAGTCTCGCTGGGCCACGGCGCTCAGGAGCCTCCCCCCGAGTCCCCTCCCTGTGGCCATGCTGCAGGCTCCACGGCGGCTCCCCTCACAGCCCTGGGGGCTCAGGGCCCGGAGCCCCGGCGCCATGGCTGGGCGGCGGGGGGGACGCTTGCACGCGGCTCCACAGGCGGGCAAGCCGCAGCAGAGGGCAGGGCGCCGTCGCCTTTGCCTGGAAAGCTGTCGCCAGGGCCGGGCGCTTCGAGCTCGGTCCCATGGGGGCCCACAGGAAAACTTCCTCGCGAAACGCCAGCTCCGGGCCCAGGCTCAGCCGGCTCTCAGCAAGCGGAAGGGAGGCACGAGACGCTCTTTCCTTCCAGGGGGCAGCGGGGGTGTGGGCAGGTGGCTGCCCCCTGCCCTCCCTCAGGAAACGACCGCGGGGGGCGTCGGGGGCCAGACCCGACGGCACCCAGGGATGGCGCGGCTCCTGCTGACCCCGGGCAGCCCACAGGGTTCCCCGCAGCCCTCGCGAGAACCATCAAGAAGAGGAGTCTGGAAGGAATGAGGAAGCAGACGCGCGTGGAATTCAGTGACACCAGCAGTGACGATGAGGACCGGCTGGTCATAGAAATCTGAGCCTGGGGAGGGCGGGTGCCCCGGAGCAAAGGCCAGGCTGGCGGAGAGCCAGACCCTGCTGGGGGCCAGCGCCCACCGTTGGGTTCCAGGCAACCCCAACTCAGCCTCACCTGTCCCCGCGTGCTCTTGGGGCTCACCTGTGGGTGTTTTCCTGGTCGCGTCCAGGAATCTCGGCACGGGACCGTGGCCCGACCACCCGCCCTGCGCCTGCCTCGGCTCCCCACTGCCTCCTCCAGCCAAACGGCGTCCACCGGGAGGACAACCGAGCCACGCGGTCAGACGCCCCCCGCCTCTGCCAGTAAACCGAGGGCGGCTGCGCAGGCGGTGAGCGAGTTTGGGATGCTTAGGGGGGTTTGCTGAGGGATGGGTGTGACCTGGGACAAGTGCAGATTCATTCAAGCCCCGGAGTTTGGACGGAGCGATTCGCCTCCTTAGTGGAAGCTGTAAATACACTTGGAACTGCCCCTGCCGGGTAAAATGCGGATCCCCTTTGCCTGCTGCGCCCGGCCGGAGCCTCCGTGGGGCCCGACGCCAGCACGTTGTCTCTCGAGCCCGGTGCCTTCTCCGTCCAGGCTCGCACACGTCTGGTTTCCCAGCTCCTTCGAAGGAACGCCCTGTCACAAGCGAACAGAACCGTCTCTGTAATGAGTCATTTTTTGAGGGGGAAAATTCACTTATTTTCCTCTGATTCTTTCTGTCATCTCGTGCTCTGAGCAATTTCAATTAGAGGGTTACATTTTAGTAATCTCTGCAGCTTCAACGGATGCCTGCGCATCGTGACGGCAACCTTTCAGGCTTCCTCCAGGAGCTGCACGGCACAAAACTAATTGGAGTTTTGACGCTGTTTCACATCTCAGTAATTTTATTTTGGGGGCTTGGTGTTACTTTGCTGTCAAATTAAATCAGCCTCTGTATTGTGCAAGTCGGAACAGCGAGAGAAAATTCCCCGCACCCCAGCCCGTGTGCCCGCGGGGAGCGGCTGATCCGCAGCCAGCCCGGGAGGGACTCCTCGGAGCCACGCGGAACTCCTCACACGGGAGGGGAAAAACTTAGAGATTTATGCTGCTGCATTTCAATAAAATTTTATACTTGCTTTTGGTATGATTTTGTACAATTTGGAATTTACAGCCCAGCTCTTTTGGCTTCCCTCTGCTGTGATGATGTTCACATGACTTGTCTTCAAAGGCGAGGCCCAGCGTCGCTCACATCTGAATACACTTCCCCGCGTCCTCGCCCGCTCGGCGATGGTCCCCTTCCAAGCGTCTGCTGGTGAATTTTCCAGTTTTAGGGTTATTCATAGACAACTTCAATGCGAGAGCGGCTTCCCCTGTGACTCAGCCTGTGCCTGCGGTCACTGCATAAGTATCCGAGGGATTCAGGCCAGGTTGAGCAAAAACAGGAGGGAGGCGGAGAGGATGTGGGGGGCTCCTCGTGTCCCCCCTTGGTCAAGCCCACGGGAGGTTACCTGCCCCTCGGAATGATCCTGGCGGAGGCTCTCACGAGGTGTCTAGGAGCGGGGTGTGGGGCTGAGGGAGAGAGGGAGGCCTGACTCTGCCCTTGCCTGGCTGGGAAATCCTGCTTCAGACACAGGGTCTCTCTGTGCCTCAGTTTCCCTGAGGACAGCGGAGAGGAGGAGGAGGTGGGTGGGACGGGAGGCACCTCCAGCCTGCCCTCTGGCGCAGATGGCTGCACCCCACCCCCTGCCCCATGCAGGGCTGGAGGGGAAGATGGCCCCATAGAGGGGGTTGGGGGGGTTGACGCAAAATCACCAGCAGTGAACTGTTGCCGTGAAGAAGGGGCGCTCAGGGGAGCTCCCTCTGCTTCTCCCCCAAGTTCCAGATTTGCAGGTGCCACCATCTAGTTTGTAAATGTTGGCTCATCAAAATTTAAAGTGAAGCCCAAAGCTGCCGTGCGAGTGGAAGGAACCTCTCCGTGCAGTGACTCAGTCCTGCCAGGCTCTCGTCGGGGGAGAAAACTTCCTTCCGGAGCCTTCTCCGCTGCGCGGCTGCTGAGCGGGCCAGTGCTCGCTGGAGCCATGAAGGGTCGCGGCTCAGACGGCGCTGAGCTTGGGGCAGAGGTGGGAGCCCCGGCCCAGGAGCCGACGTCCCTGCTGCCACAGTCAGGCCCAGACCAAGGCTGGCAGCCGCTGACCACACCCGCTGACCGAGTCTCTCACAGCCTGGCTCTCGGCTCCCGGTGGCGGCGTTTACAAGTGCGCCTTCCTCTCTGTGAACGTGCACTTGCGGAAAGCTGCGTTTCGGTGAATTAAAGTTTTTAAAATGTATTCTGAATGACCTAGGGGGAATGGCTACTGGAATCATCCTCAAGGTTTTTCTTTTATGGTGAGGACTCCTTGAACAAGCAACAGCCACGCTCTGATTTCATAAATCCTAGTTTTCTTCTGAGTTTTCTTAGATAGAATGCAACCACAGGGCCACATTTTAGGGATAGCATTTCGTGACCAATAGCCAGCCCAGTATGGGTTATTGAAAATAAAATTGTCAATTGATAATTGCTGCACAAGTGTGTGCAGTGTGATAATTCTACACACGTGTGTGCTATGTGACGGCGAAGGAGACACACAATGACTTTAGAATAAGGCAACCCAGATTTTAATGATCAGGGATCCCCTGTCTTTCCCCAGTGCTGTTTCCTCTACTGTCCTTTTCAGGTAAGGGTCTTAGCCAACCGGTGCCTCAGCGCCTTCCCCAGAGAAAGGCCCCGGGGTGTTGACGTGGGCGAGCTAAGGGCACCTGTGAGTCTCGGCTAGATTCTCAGGGAAGGTATGCAAGTGCCTGTGATGGTCAAGACTCACCCTCAGCTTCCTTGCAGGTGTGTGCCTGCACCTGGCAGGTCACACATGCTAAAGATGCATAGGGGACAGAGGTGTCACCTTCTCCCTGGGCAGCCTGCTCCGTTAAGTGATTCTTACAGTCACAAGGTTTTTGATGCACAAACTAAATCCTCGTTGTAAGGGATGGTGAGAACGACTCACCCTCCTGCGACAGCCGTTGAGATGCTGGACGAGGCCGCTTCCCTCACAGAACCCAGATTTCATTTGCTAAAAGATAAAAATGATGGGGGAGGGGGTGCCCCTGAGTTCTCCTCAAAACCCTGTCAGTGGCACTCTGGGTAATGGGCGGAAGTCACTGTCCTTCCTGAAATGGCTCAGCTGGGGAGGGCAGCCTTGCAAAATCGCATCGTGACCACAGCTCTTGGCACAAAAGATGAACGATTTGTAGCCTCGTGCCAAAAAATCTTTCCTTGCATTTACTTCATTACTTAGAATGTTCACATTATTCATTTTTTCCCCAGCATAGAAATTTGCATTTTGCACAAAATTTGCCTGGTGCAGCAGATTTTTATAGTTATGGAAACTGTCATCATTATCGGGAGATGCTGCTGCTCAGCCCCCTAGACGTAATTCACTGTGGGGAGGAGACAGCAGCCCGCCCGGCTCCATGGCGATCATATTTCTACCGCAGCAAACACGGCTTGTGCGTTTTTCCTCACTTCAACCGCGATTCCCAGGTTCTTGTGCCGGGGACACTGGCTTTTGAAACACTACATTCCTTGACACTGAAGCCCAACTTCTTGTCCGTATCTTTCAGAGCTCATTAAATATAGATGTCAGGGCCCAGAAAATCGTAGGTGGGGGTAGGTACTCTGCGCGTTTCTTTTCTCCCGTGTTTCGTGCTTCATGCGGGCGTGTATGTCATTCGAGCTGAGGAAGAATGGGGCACGGCTCCACTAGAAACAGGAGAGCAGTCAGCCTCTGTCACTTGGAACTCGGGGGGGTGACGTGATGTCTCAGGCGGCCAGCTGCTCAGAACTTACTACTCTATGTGCTGTTTGTAATCAGGGAAACACTAGGCTTCTTGGTTGTAACTATTTCCCTCTTTATATGATGAAAATATTTTGTTTTCATAAAAATAAAACTGAAAATGACAATGTCTTATGTGATTTGTTAACATTTTCACCAAAACTATTGCAAGCGAACACCCTATCAATTGACCTATGATTATTGACGAGGCATCGACCAGACACGCCATATTGGTTTCCCTTTCCACTCAATGGAAGGATTAGGTAACAGCAAATGATGACATTTTCTTGTGCTTTTTCCCTTTCCCACGTGTCTCATTTGTCATTGGCTGCCATATTTTATAGTCCATAACTTAGATGTGCTTTTAAATTCTTAAATGTAGCTAAACGTTGAAGCCACATGAGGGCACTATCCACAGTGCAATAACCCAAAATTTTCCCCTTCAAATTAGTGTTTCTGGGATATTTAATATTACTCATTAACAGAGAATAGGTCCTTAATTAAAAAAAATACCTTCCTGTGAAACAATTCATGTACTCCTTGCAAGAATAGATTTATTTTTATATATCACCACCATATTACTACTTTCTGTCTATATCTCTTACAGCCACTTGAAGTCAGTGGAGACACCATGCATTGGGAGAGAACATGGGCTTGGGAATGGGAAGGAATAGATAAAGTAATTGACGGATCTGAGCAGCTATTTTTGTTAACTCGTCAAACTCTAATAGTAGTAAATGAATCTGCTATTTCCAAAACTGTCACTGGAAAACCATCTTAATGTATTCTCTTTTTTTGCCATATATATCCACATGTTGGTATGTTATTTATGTAATACTTTTGTTTAAATCATCTATTTTAAAGAACCAATGATTGCCCTAAATATCTGTAAAATTTCAGTCTAAAATTTGGCAGATATGTCTATTTTCTGACATGGATCAAAGTAATATGAAACTTGAAAATTGCTTATCATCTACCAGAATCATTCACGCACCAAATATCATCTTCATACCACGACGCTGGGGGACACGTCATGCTCGTCTGAAAGGCATCTGACTTGTTAGTTTCTCGAGTTATTCTAGTCCCATTTTCCCTCCAAGCTAATAGAAGTGGTGGAATTACAGGTTTGTCAGGTAGGTTTCTTCAGTCAGACTTTACAGTTGAGTTATTAATCTTC